GTTCCAAAGAGACTAATGTTCATTCACATAGCATTAAGATTTTGCAAAGAAGGTAAGGGCAAGGAACAGAGGGTGGTATGGTAAGGAAAGGATAAGGTAAGAGGAAATAAAGCTCAGACTGGAGAGCAAAGCTGATGAGGAGGAAGAAGCTGAGGCCAACCAAAAAAAATGGTTTCTTAACTGTGTAAAGGAAAAAGAGGAAGATCAAAAAAGTGATAGGACATTTACTTAGGGTGAATGGAACAATGATACTTGAGTGGAAAAAAGCCAAAACTGCTCATCTCTTATTTTCTTTCAATTTTCCCTGCCAAAAAGAACATTTTTTTTTCTTTTTTGGTGAGGCAATTGAGATTAAGTGACTTGCCCAGAGTCACACAGCTAGTAAGGGTTATGTGTCTGAGGTCAAATTTGAACTCAGGTCCTCCTAACTTGGTGCTCTATCCAATGCACCACCTAGCTGCCCCAAGAGGAGTTGTTGTTTTTTTTTTAATCAAAGAGAACAAAATGGACCTACTAGGCAATTGATAACCCAGATGGAATTACAAAAATAAGCAAAGAGATAAAAAGAAATCTTCTAGCTACCTTTGATGCCTTCAAGTCACTTGGCTCAGATGAACTAATGCTGGTTTACATTGATGTAGTACCTTTAGTTTTGCCAAGTCCTTAACATATTTTGTTTCATTTGATCCTGAGTAACAACCCTGTTAGCTAGGCGCTGGTCTTTATCCCCATTGTACAGATAAGGAAATTGAGCCTCCTAGGAGTTGTGACTTGCCCAGCTAGTAAGGATTTGAGGGAGGAATGAAAAGGAAATCTTCTAAACTCAAGTCCAGAATTCTATCCAATGATACCCAGCTACTTTCGAGGGTAATGAAAGAATTAGCAGACGTGATTTCTGGAACCACTGTGAGTGATCTTGAAAGATGGTAGAGATTTGGAAAAGGACAACAGAATTGGGAAAGGGGAAGAGTCCCAATTTTCAAGAAAGGGAAGAAACTAGGGTCTGCAAACTATGAACCATTGACTTCAACTCTTAGAAAAATTCTATTTTCAAATGTCACTGATGCATTTTTTGGGTTTTGTTTTTTCGGTTTCTGTTTTTACATCACTCTCCTTTCTCAATATTTACCTGCCCTTACAAAAAGAAAAACAATGAAACAAAAATCAGCTGATACTGTAACCACATCTGACACATCATGCAATGTTTCATGCCCTTAATTCCCCCACATCCCATCTCCACCAAGAGGAGGGAAAAGTATGTTTCATCAGCTGTCCTCTGGAACCCAGATTTATAGTTGTATTTATTGTGAGTTACAATGATACTGAGTGCTGTCTGTTTACCTTCTCTAGTCACTGTGAGTATTGTATGTATACATTATTCTCTTGGTTCAGCTGCCCTGATCTAAATCAATTCATATAAATCTGCCCATGTTTCTCCTAGTTTCCCATAAGCTCAATAGAACATTAACTCAAAAAGTGGATAGTGAATATTTAGAAACAGCAGCAGTGATCAGTTTCAAACCAGACTGGTATTATTTCCTTTTCTGAGGATATTTCTGTCATGTCCAACCCTTCATGACCCTATTTGGGATTTTCTTGACAAAGATACTAGAGTAGTTAGCCATTTTTTTTTCCTCCAGCTCATTTCCCAGATGAAGAAATTGAGGCACACGGGGTTAAATGACTTGCCCAGTGATGGAATCCTAATAAAGCTGCCTCCAGCCACAATATTCTAAGTTCCTTATAGGTTCTACTGAACAGCAGGCCCACTGCCCCTACCTAGCCACTGCCCCTCCCTACTCAATATCCTAACTTCTTCATGTATGCCTCACTGCTCACTAGAACAACAGGTGTGTCCATGACCTCATATTTCTCACAGCAACAGCAGGCATAGCCATGTGATGGGATCCCAGCCACTGCCTCTAGCTAGCCACTGCCCCCAGACTGATTCCTCATATTTTCCACAAAAACAGCAGATGTGTCCATGCACTCAACCACAACCACGTCTATCTAGTCTCAGAAAGGACCACAATAGTCAGCGAATCAGAAAGCAGAATCACCAGGATTCCTGAGTAGAATGGGTACTCCAAAACAATAGAGGGGACTTTCCCTAAGTAGGTACTTGCTCGGTAAAAGTGAAAGTTGTCCTTTAGGTGAGCATATAACATAGAGAGGCTTATTATAATATCATTATCATACATACATACCCTTGCAATGGGTTTTCTCTATGCATTGTGGGTAATCACATATACAGTTTCACTGAGGCTGGGACCCTTCCCCTATTACCTAATCCCTTAACAAATCCCTCCTGCCTTTTTAAGATTCATCATTTCTGTTATGTAATTGCATATTTACCCTATAAAAATCCATCTTGCTTTCACTAAAGTTGCTAGTTCTTCTTGGAACTTAGCCTCCTTCATAGGAGACGTCAATCTCAATGAATGCCTATACTTGGATTAAAGGTGACCTGACTCTGAATTCTTTGAGATGGTTTCACCACAACACATCATGAAACTACAACACGAGGGTCACACAGCTAGCATCTAAGGTCAGATTTTAACTCAGGTCTTCCTGTCTCCAGGCTGGGCATTCAATCTACTGTGCCACCTAACTTCCTTGAGGAGGTTATAGGACACATAAATCAGGTGAATGCTATAGATAAGAATTTGCCTAGATTTTAAGAAAGCATTTAACAATGTCTCATACTCCTCTTGGGGTAAATATGAGATATGGGTGAGATGAAGGTTTTCAAGAAAAGACTGGATATGGGCAGCTAGGTGGTGCAGTGGATAGAGCACTGACCCTGGAGTCAGGAGGACCTGAGTTCAAATCTAGCCTCAGACACATAAGCATACTAGCTGTATGACCTCGGGCAAGTCACTTAACCCTGTTGCCTAGCAAAAAAAGAAAACACTGGATAGCGTCCATGCTAGGATCAGAGATTCTGAAGAGAGATTCAGTCACACCCAACAACTCCAGAGTTTATTGAATAATATACAAACCAAGTGAACACACTCACTCCTACAAGGTTCTACTCACATGTGTGTCCCCGCCTCAAAGTCAACTCAGGACACCACATTGGACAAAGGGGAAACTGAATCCTTAATCACTAGCCATTGTTTTGGAATGGCCTACGGATGTTAGAAGTCATTGTGTTTTGTAGTAAATTAGATATCAAGCCATAGAGACTCCAATCAAGGGTGAACCAAGTCCAGTTACCTTGTCATAATACTCCAGTCATTAGGTCAGATCTTCTGGGGTTTTCCAGGGGTGCAAACATGGGTGTGGGCACTTCCTCTCCCTGGTGACTGCTGTTGCTGAACCTCGACTTTCAGTCTCTTCCATTGCACAGGCCTCTCTTATAGTGATTGTCTTTCTCCCTCACCCCTAGGGACAAGAGTAGGACTCACTGGGATGGGCAACCCCCTCCTGCCATGACCTTATTGGAGGCTGGACTATCCTCTAAACTACCCTACACATTGCATTTTTTTTTTGGAGGCAATCAGGGTTAAGTGACTTGCCTAAGGTCACACAGGTAGTAAGTGTCTGAGGTAGGATTAGAACTCAGGTCCTCCTGCCTCCAGGGCCAGGGTTCTATGCACCATGGTGCCACCTAACTGCCCCCCCAACACACACACACACACACACACACACACACACACACACTCACACACACACACACACCCCTATCTTTTTTTTTTTCACCACACTGAATTGGAACCAGTTTAGTTTTTTCTTATGGGTCTGGGTCACATCCGACATAAGTGGCATCTTTCCTTTGGAGTCAGGGCTGATACTTAGGGATATTCATCCCCTGCCCTAACCTGGTCATATCAACTTGTTAGCTCTTTTAAAGGAGCTGACCTCAGTGACATAGATTTAGAGATGGAAAAGACCTCAGAGGTCATTGAGTACAATCTCCTCATTTTATAGATGAGGAAACAAGCTCAGAGATTGTGCCCAGGCTCAAGGAGCTACTAAGTTCTTGAAGCAGGATTAGAATCCAAGGCTTCCTGACTCATGTCCAGAATTCTTTCCACCCTGGCATTCTGCTTCTCATAAACTGAGGTCCTTTCTGCTTCTTAAAATTCTGAAAAATCTCATTCCTCCAGCTCACCTCTTTTCCCCTTCTCCCTCTAACATTCCCTTTCCATGTTCATCTTTGCCCTGTAATCCTCATATTCTTCATCTCCCCATGTCCGCCGCCAAGGATCCCTCCCATTTGCAGTGCAGTACAGTGAAAGGGTTCTACTGGAAACCAGAACTCTGATTCAATTCACTTCTGCTACTTGTGCTGAATGACCTTGGGGAAGTCACTTGACCCAGGGACTGAGGTGACTTCCAGGTCCAGACCTAGGATCTTTCCCCATTATTCCCCCTCGGAAACACCACCAGAGCCTATGGGGGCACCATTTATTATTGTCAATAAATATAGCTTGTGCTTTTCCCTCCTCAAGTTGCTTCTTATCTTACTTTGTATGTTATGTGTAAATACCAATAGATGCCCATGCTCTCCCCTCCATTCAGACGTAAGTAAACTTCTTGAAGGTTCTGTTCACTTTTTCCCCACCCCCAATGTTTAGCACAGTAATTGGCAAAGATCTTTGTTGTTTAGTCATTTTACGTCTGACTCTTTGTGACAACTTGTGGGTTTTCTTGTCAAAGATACTGATTTGCCATTTCTTTCTCCAGTTCATTTCACAGATGAGGAAACTGAGGCAAACAGGGTTATGTGACTTGCCCAGGGTCACACAGCTAGTAAGTGTCTGAGACTGGATTCAAACTCAAGTCTCCCTGACTCCAGGCATGGTGCTCTATCCACTGTGCCACTTAGCTTCCCCCAAAATCAGATTACTTAATCTTGTACCCTAGTTCATATCCTGTTGCTTAATGTATAACAACGTCGCCCCTGTATTTGGGGTCCAGTGCCAAGCTGAGGAGGCTTGGTCTCGATTGGGTATGCATTGCTTAATAAATTGCTACGCTCAGGAACTCAAACCTTTGTTTCAGCAGTTATTCCAGATTTTACGCATCACATCTTTAATGAGGTAAAAAACAACTCATTTTGGAGCCGTAGGTATTCTCACTAGAGTATCTCAAGAATGTATTAGAAGACTGATGCTCCAAAATATGAGGAATTTGTGGGAACATTTAACTGTGCTGGGTCTCTCCCCCTAATTTCTAAGAATTCCAAAAATGTCTTTGAAGATGTTCATTTCAAAATTGTCTCCAAGGGCCCAGAGGCAATGTTCCAACTGACCCTGAGAGTGAGGGAGGTGAGGGGTATGCAGAGATTAAAGAAGGGAGGGAAAATTTAGGACTCCAAGTGATTCAGAGCTCTGCCCTGACAGGTGGGATGATGGATTGAGCAGGACCAGGAAACAGGAAATGGGAGGAGAAAGAGAGCTTTTGTTGGTAAGGGGCCTGCCCAAAGCTCCAAAAAGAGAGGTGGAGCTGCCTCTGAAGTCCTGGGTAGATAGATGCTCAGAACAGTTCTCTTAAACAGACTAGTATTTCTGACCATTTCACTGAAGTGAAGTGAGACAGCTCAGATGCCCCAGTCCTTCAAGGGCATGGGATCTAGGAGACTAGACCCTTGGGTCCCAGGGAAGAGGGTCACAGCTGGGGGCCCAGATGCCTACTTCTTTGAGGGGATGGAATCTGTGAGCCTGGAGAGCTGAGGAATGCCTGCATCCTCAAGCAGGCAGGAGTAAGGTCCCACAGTGGGCCAAACACTTAGGGTCTGGGTGGGAAGAGCAGAAGACATGAGGGTCACAAGATTATTGGGAAGATTGCAGGGGGTTCAGTGGTATCAGTGGGTCCGAATGGTCTTCTCAATCCAGGAGTTGTATTTACAGATCCAAGTATAGACTGCTGGCCGGTGGGCTGAGCCACAGGGGTAATCACCCCAGGATAGGATGCCCTGGAGGGCCCCATTACAGACCAGGGGGCCTCCAGAATCACTCTAGAAGAGGACAAAAAAAGAGCCTGGCTTGAGTCGCATCACCTCTTAACTAATCCCTGGAGTGCCTTCCTACTGGCATAGCCTTCTTGGTAAGACTGGCCCACTAGCTGTCCCCTCCATCACTCGCCTCTGAGTCTCTGCAGAAGGGGGTATGATCCCCCTTGTCTGACGTGTATTCCCTCCTCAGCTCATCCATAGCTTCTTTCCAAGTACACACAGGTGTTCTTGCTGTTGTTCAGTCATTTTCAGTTGCGTCCAACTCTCCATGACCCCATTTGGGGTTTTCTTGGCACAGATAACTGGAGTAGTTCACTATTTCCTTCTGCCCATTTCACAGTTGAGCAAACTGAGGCAAACAGGGTCAAGCAACTTGCCCAGGCTCACCCAGCACCTAAGTGTCAGGGGCCTCATTTGAACTCAGATCTTCCTGAGTCCAGGCCCAGTGCTCTATCTCCTGCAGCACCACCTAGCTGCCGCCACACTCAAATACTGCTTTCTAAATCAAATCTTTCCTATAAAATGTAAATTCCTTCAGGGCTAGGACTATCTCATTCTTGTCTTTGTATGAACACTTTCAGACATGTACCTTAATGAATGCTGGATTAACCTCCTAATCCCCCAGGTATTAACAGTCTCTGTCTCTCGGTCTTTTTCTCTCTGTCTCAGTCTCTGTCTCTCTGTCTCTCTCCCCTCTCCTCCCTTAAAATTACTTTGTATGCTTCCCCACCCACCCACTCCACCCCCAGTAGGATATGAATTCCTGGATCACAAAAGCTGTTTCTGTTTGGTTTTTATATCTCTAATACCTGGCCCAGTGCCTGGCTCACAGCAGGCCATTCATTAGTGTTGGATAAATTGAAATCCTCACCTGACAGGCATCCTGGCCATTGTCCAAGCCAGCACATATCATGTTGTTTGTAAGCACCCCAGGGTAGGAAGCTGCACACTCTTTGGGAGACAGGACAGTGACCTCTGAGCAGGACAAGCTCTTACTATATTTCACTAGTGGAAGAAAGGCAAAGTTGGGGACCCAGAGGTCTTGGCTGCCAGCCCTAATCCTGTCTATGATTTGTGATCATAACACAGGCCTTTGAGCTGGCAGCCACCATCCCATTCAGGACCCAGGTTTCTGACCACTCCAACATGGGCCTCCTAAGCCCCCTTTACCTCGGGGTTGGCTGGTAGTCCCCCAGCCTGCAGCCTGGCATCTAGTCCCTGGTACTGCACAGGTCCTGGCCAGAGGTAAGACCTGGACCCGGGGGCCCAGGACAGCTGGCCGGCGAAGCTTCATCAGAAGGAGGTCATGCTCATCGGTTCGGGCAGGCAGGGAAGGGCCAGAACCCGCCTTGTACTTGGGGTGAGGGATCATTACAGAGCTGATCTTGAGTTGTTCGCCTCCATCAGGTAGTAGCAGATGGTAGTCACCAAGTTTGGCCCAAAGCCAACTGTTCAGGCCAGAAGACAGAGGGGAAGGCGTAAGCACAACCGCTGTCCAGGAAGCCTTCATGCCTTCACCTGACTCCACCCCATTCCCTTCCCCTTTCCAGACCTTCTGGACCAGCTCAGTCAGCCTTTCCTCATCCGTCCTCCCTTCCCAGCCCTCTGAGAATGTAGTAGTGGGAGAGGCCCCGGTTTGTGAGTCAGGGCCTCTGGGACACCATCAGCAAAGCGAGAGGTCTGAACTAATGGGGCATCCTAGATGTCCCTCCCAGCGCCAAATCCTGATTCTGAAGCCTATCCCTGGCTCTTTCACTTATTACTGTGACACTAGGCAAGTCGTTCCCCTCTCCGGGCCTCAGTTTCCCTGTCTGCAGTGGGACTTCATGATCTTGGAGGTCTCCCCTTTCTGCCCCCACCTCCAACTACATGCCTGCATCACCTTTCGTGCTCCCCATTCACAGCCAGCTCTAGGTCTCCAGACCTAGATTTATCCTGAAAACGATAAGGTGGTCAGAACTGGCCGCTCCTTTTTTGTGTGGATTATACCTTTCGGCGCAGTGGGCTGCGGTTAACACCCAGTTGCGGTCCACTAGGACCCCAGCGCAGCGAAATGAGAGGTCTTTAAAGAGTGAGACGTGCCAAGGCTGAGAGCCGCGGGCGCACTGGGTAATCCTGGCTTCCTGGGCCTCCAACGCCTGCGGGGCCTCCGACGCTTCCGGGATGGGGGAAACTGAGGTTTCAGGTGCAGCTACAAAAAGAGAGAGAGGTGAGAACCCCTGAGGGTGGAGGGCTGGGCCAAGAAGAGAGGAGGAGGGAGACGGAGGAGGGCACCAAACAGAGGAGGGGCTGGGACAGAACCAGGAAGGGACGCAAGAAGGCAGGGAAATAGAAGGGCGGTTCTCAGAAAGGGTAGCGGGGAGATACCCGGGAAAGGGACAAGAAAAGGGGCGGAAGCAGACGGTAAAAACCCAACTACACCAACAGCAATGATAATAGCTCTCAGGTCTATAGCGCTTTACATCTGTCGGCTCTGGATTCTGATGATGTTGTGAAATATTAACTTAAATTTTTATAAAGTTCTGAAATTTGCCCGGCCCATGCGTCCCTCCCAACACGTTGGGATGTGTAGTTCAGGTATTACCCCTTCGTTTTAGTAATGGGTAAACTGAGGCAGAGAGGTTGAAGGACTTGAACACCCATGCCCAGCCAGCTATTACCCATGGGCTTACCTGACTCCAGATGCCAAGGGTCTTTCAGCTACGGCCTGATCAGAGATTGAGAGGTGGAGTTGGGGGGAGGGGGTCTGCTTAGCGCTGGGAGGGGAGGTTGGCAGAGCGGTTTGAAAGGAGGAAGGGAGTAAAGATTTGGGATGGGAATCATAGTGGGACTGGATTTGGGGAAAATGGGGAAAGTGTGTGATGGGAGAGGATGGTAGGAATGTGGATAAGTGATGTATTGAGGGGAGATCGAATTCGGGGGGGAGGTGAGGTTGGGGATGGACTCGGTGTAGTGGCAGGATGGTGGTGATGGAAAGTCACGGACGAAGAATCGCTGGAGAGCCCAGTCTCGTCTCCCACCCACTCCTACCCTATCTTCCCTTACCCCTGCAGGTAGCAAGCACCAAGAGCCACAGGGCGCTGTGAATGGAGCTTCTATTCCTCATGCTTGGAAGCTGGGGGTGGAGGGGGAGAAAGAGGTCTTTTCAGGACTAGGGAGACCAGTAGCTCCCCCAACTCTGCCCAGCCCAGCTCACCTCCGGAAAACTGGAGAGCCTCCCAGCCCCCGGCCCCACCCTCCCCCCAACCCGCTGATTAAACGGCCTTCCCATCAGATAACTCCCTAATGGGGCCCCCAGGCAGGATTGGAGAATACGCTAATTGTGGCCATAATAACAATAATTAGAATAATAACAGCCCCTTTTAGTATCTCCGCAGACGTCTTAAGACCAAGCTTGGCAGATCTCTCCCCAAGTTCCGTGGAGGGACGCTGGAACCCAAAGGGGGAAGCCACTTCTGGAAAGTCTGCAACAACTAACCATTTCCCCCAACATTCTCAGGTCGGTTATGGTGGGTAGCTCTTCCCAAATGTCGGCCTAAGTGGTTTCCAATTGGAAGAACTAGGGAGTGACTATCCCAAAGTCATACAGTGAGACCACGAAATCCAGCCCCCCGCCCCCAAACTGCTTCTTTTTGGCCCTGGAGGACCCTTAGCCTCCCCCTACCCCAACCCTGAGGAAGAAGAGCCCCCAGTCTTACCACGGGGTCATGGACAGCGTCTCAGGGAGAGCTCTGGGTAGCTGGATCGCTGCCTAGTCCTGTGTGGGCTACCAGGTCTTCTGCTCCTGGTCCCTAGTCCAAGCCTCCCCTTTTAACCCCCAGCCTCCGGAAACTGCCCTACCCAGTCCCTAGGGGATCAAGCCCCCACTACCCCACCCTTCCTAATTAGACTTTCAGGGTGGGGCTGGCACCAAGCCTGCTACCAGATTCCTGCCCAGGGAGAGGCCCTGATGTAAAAAAAATAAAAAAAAAATTAAAAAGACTTCTTGTGCTCTAGGTTCATTTTATATTCTCTGTCTTCTAACAAAGCACCTTCCCCTCCCACATCTGAGAGAGTTCCCAACAGCCACCTCCTACAAGAAGTCCTCCAGGATTGAGAACAAGACAGGTTCAAGTCTACCAATTGTAGGATGGATGAGAGGCAACCCTTTCACCCCACAGAGCCATGCCTGGGGAAAGGTGCTGATGAATCCTGCCCCTTCCCCCTTCTCACCCCCAACCCAGGCTGTTTGTCTCCATGCACAACTGAGTATTTGTATGTCTGTTTGCTAAAGAATTATAGAATGGTAGCCCATGGAGACAACTACCAAGTGCTTTTCTCCAGAGGGAGGAGGGAATACTTGTAGAAAAACAACAAAAACAACTAGAGTGACTGATGAATTCATAAACGGGGCCCCTGATACCAAAGGAATCCTGATAACCTGGGACTTGTTCAGTTGTGTCCGACTCTTGGTGACCCCATTGTGGTTTTCTTGGCAAAGATACTGGAGAGCTTTGCCATTTCCTTCTTCAGCACATTTTGCAGATGAGGAAATCAAGGCAAACAGGGTTAGGTGACTTGCCCAGGGTCACACAGCTGGTAAGTATTTGAGGCCAGATCTGAACTCAGGTCTTCCAGACTGCAAGCCCTGAAGTCTAACCACTGTACCACACTTATATGACCCAATCAGCATTTGTGTATTGAAAAGTCCCAATGGTTTGCTTATATTGGTGCATTTTCAAAAGATTCCACTCTGGAATCAATTTCATTATGAAAAAACAAAAAACAAAACAGTCCAATCCATAGCAGTTGAGGGCCATCTAAAAACCATCTCTAATCTGGATAGAGCCAATTCTCTGGGACTAGTTGTTTATGCAGCTTTATTCCCAGAGGTACAGTGGTATAGTGGATAGAGCTCTGGCCCTGAAGTCAGGAAGATCTAAGGTCAAATCTGGCCTCAGACACTTACTAGTGTGACCCTGGGCAAGTCACTTAACCCTGTTTGCCTCAGTTTTGTCATCTGTAAAAATGAGCTGGAGGAGGAAATAGCAAGCCACTCCAGGATCTTTGCCAAGACAACCCCAAATGGGATGGCAGAGAGTCAGATATGACTGAACAATGACAACAGACCAAGACTGGGACCTAGGATGGAGGGGAGACAGACACAGGTCTCCTTGTATTCTTCTTGTAGGAGTTAGTTTACCATCACAGGGGTTTTATGACATTAATCATCCCTGTAGTTAGCTGAGTGTGATTGTAGCTACTGTCTCTATTCACTGAGATCCTGGACCCGACGTCATGGCAGAGAACTGCTGCACATAAAATGCCAGAGAGGAAAGGATTTTTGAACAGACCACATTGAAGGTTAAAACAGAAAAGGGCCTTAGAACAGGAAATCCAGACCATCAGAGTTAGAACAGACCTTGCAATGCAAAATAGAGAAAATCTGAGATAATCTAGTCAGATACTTTCATTTTCCAGGTAAGGAAATCGAGGCTAAGAGACATTAAATGACTCACTGAGGTTTATACTGTGACGAAGTGAGGCCTCAATGTGAAAACTCTGAAACAAAGCCCAATGGACTACCCCAAACTGCTTCCCTGTGCTCCACGTTCAAAGACGTGCCCTTCTGTGATGGTCTTTGTTCAAAGGTCCCTTCTTGACTTGACGTTCCAAGGTCCTTTCCAGCTCAAACAGTCTACATTCTAAGGGCCATCTCACCTCTACCATCCTCTCTCTCCCTTTTTAGCTTCCTTTTGTCTATTAGATTGTAACATTATATTATACGCTTCTCAAGGGCAGGAACTGAAATTTTAGCACAGTGCCTGACAGGTAATAGAAGCTTAGTCAATGTTTATCAACTGGTTATTCTTTGTGTGGAAGCACCTTCCAGTTCTGGCATTCCCTGTTCTACATTTTGTACTTTAAGGATCATAATAGGAGAAGGGAGAAGTTGCCATAACAGTTGTCCCTATAAATAAAGAAACTTGGCAGCTACTTGGCAGCTGCTTGGCCGGGTGGGTGGTTTGACAGCTTTTTTCATCAGTATCTCCCAGGCTCTAAGATCTAGTTTAGCTTGGCAAGAATCCTTTCCCAGCCTGCCCTGGGCTCCTGGTTTTCCTATGTTCTGTGCCTATTAGGGCTCTCTTCTTAGCACCTGACTCCGGTATTTGTCCACACTTATTAACCGCCCCGGCATCTGACCCTGCTGCCCATCTTCCTGGCATCAGGCCAGTGCCATGGGCATCCAGGCCAATAGTTTTGGCTCCTCTTCAGTCTGAATCATGTGCCCAGTTTGCTGCCACAATGCCTCAAGGCAGATTCGCTTCCTTCAGGCTTCGTCAGGGTTGCCCTTTGCTTGTCTCAGGATCCCAGATCTACAGCCCCACAGGATCTCAAAGGCCTTGAGTCTAATGGGCCCATTTTACAGATGAAAAACCTGAGACCAAGGAAGAGAAAGGAACTTAGCCAAGATTGCCCATGGAGCACATGGCAGAGATGGGATTTGGTCTCAGATTCTCTGGCCACCAATCTAGCATTCTTTCCACTATCCCATGCTTCCTCCTCACCTTCCAACTCACTCTTCCAGTCTGATCCCTCCGAGGGCACAAGTGAACAAAGAATCATAAAGGCACACAATATCTGAGTTAGAAAAGGCTTTAGGGGCTAACTGGTCCGGGCCATCCTTGAACAACAATCCCTTCTGCACAAACCCAACAAGCAGTCATAATAACAGCCAGCTTGTACGTGGAACTGTCCATATGCTACCTCATTTGATTGTCGCAACAACCCTGGGAGGTAGGTGTCATTGTTACCCCCACTTTACAGAGGGGAAAACAGAGGCAGACAGAAGTAAAGTGGCATGCCCAAGGTCACACAGCTAAGGAAGTGATTGAGGCAGGATTTTAACTCTGGTCTCTCTGATTCTAGATCATCCCTTTATCCACTGTGCCCCTAGTTACTTATTTCATCATGAAGATCACCAGTCAGGGAGAGCCCATCACCTTCAAGGCAGCCCATTCCACTCCCAAATGGCTCTAAGGGTTAGCAAATGGTTCCACCATCAACCTAACTGTGTTATTTCACAACTTGTACCCACTGCTCTAGAGCCTGCCTTCTTGGACCAAATAGAGCCCCAACCCCTTCTATAAGAGACTAGCATCCTAAAATACTTGAAGATGGCTTCCACATCTTCCATAATACTTCTTTTTTTTAGGCTAAACACCTCAATTTCCTTCAGCTGATACCTACCTCTACAAGTACCCTAGTCCAAGTTGTCAATGTCAGCCCTTCCTGACACATCAGACTGTAAGCATCTTGAGGGCAAGGACTGTCCTTTGCCTTTTTTTGCATCTTCAGCACTTAGCACAATACCTGGCACATAATCATCATAATATACATATTATATGTATGTATGTGTATATATGTATATATATGTGTGTGTATATAAACACTGTATATGTGTACATATGTATATATAATATATATAGTGCATGTATATATAAATACTTTCTATATCTATATAGGTATATATAGATATTGTATATATGTATATATATAGTGTTTGTGTATATTTGACTGACCGATTGACATGATACCAAGAACTGGATCAGATGTGATATGGTCAAGGCCAAGTAAAGTGGGAACAGAACCTCCCTCATTTGGGTCCCTATTCCTCTGTTTAGATTTCCCTTAGCTCTGACATTGTCTGTTCCAAAGCCTTCCCAGCCCTGAAATTCCCTCTTCTAAGGCTCCTCCAGCCCTGACATTCCCTGTTGTGAGGCTTGTACATTCTGGGTCCTAAGAGCACCCTTTCATCTCCCCTTCCTTGTTCTAAAGGCCCCTTATTTTAAGGAGAAAGCAGCTGAGGTCCAGAGAGCAGAGTGAATTGCTCCAGGGCACAATGCTGCCAGCAGAGGTGGTTGGACAAGAAGCCTTTTCCCCTCCAGCTGGTTTTCTAGGGCAGCCCCATTTCCCCTGAGTCAACCGATGCCCTCCATGCTCTTCAGTGAGGCAGGGGAGGGGTGTGTGTGACTTCCCTCCAGGTAGGAATTCAGAAATAAGAGGCAGTGCCTGGGCCTGGGAGACTCACTCCTCAAGGAGGAGACAGGGGCCCAAGTTACCTTTCCCTAGTAGGGAAATAAAATCATAGAACCTTAGAATCCCAGAGTTAGAACTGAAAAGACTTCAGGAGACATGAGGTCCACCCCACCCCCCACCATTTTTACAGAGGCTTGGATATATCAAGAATCTGAAGGTGTCAAAAGTCAAGAGCAGAATTCGAACCCAGGTCTTCCTACCTCCAAGTTGAGTTTTATCCACTAAGCCAAGCTGCCTCTCAGGTCACTGAGTTATAGTTACCTTCCTGTGCAAGGTGGAGGAGCCATGAATTTGCTTTAAAAAATGACCACAGACTTTCCAGGGCTATTTATTGTGCATAAAATAGACAAGAAGAGGAGGCATGCAGGAAGGAGGTGGATGGAAATATTCTTTGGTCAGGGTTAATCGTCCTTGATGGTTTCCTGGACCCAATCCACATATTTGCAGACCTTAGTATAGACACCTGGCTTCCTGCTGACAGCACAGGGGTCTTGGCCCCAGGAAATGATGCCCTGAAGTGTTCCATTGCATAGCAAGGGTCCCCCTGAATCACCCTGTTGGAAGAGACCAAGAAAGCTGACCTCAGGGAAATGGACCTACGGATGGCTATGGGGATGGAGATAGGGATGGGAATGAAGGTGGTGGGATGGCCATGGAGAT